GCAGCTGCTTTGGATTCCCTGCAAGCACCAGCTACAGTCAGAGGCCAGCAGCACAGTTCAGCTATTAAATGATGCTTTTGAATCTCCATTGACCTGCAGAGCCATGGATCTTTTAATAACTAGATTAGAAACACCTTATCTTTTTACATTAGTCAGGGGAAAAGACACCGCAGTAGAAGTTTACCAGAAATTGTGTGTGTGGAAACCAGCATGAAAATACCTTACCAGCCTGCCCAGACACAGAGACCAGCAGCGGGCTCCTGCTCTCCAGGATGACCTGTGGCAGGATTTTGGGGACAGCAGGAGGTGTAGCAATGTCTCCAGATCTATTGCTAGGTGTCATTCCATCCTTCCTAGAGATAACAGGCAGCACTGCCTTGCAGATGTCTCACTGCGTGAGGACTAGGCACAGGATTAAAAACAGATAGCAAAGACAGAAGTATGGCAAGTTAAGAGGGAAACAGTTCAAGAATATGTGCCAAGCGTCAGTGTTAGCCATATGAGCCTCAGCAGCGAAGCGTGCCAGTTTGCATCAGACCAGACTCATCACTGCCCGGGCAGTCAAATTGCCAAAAATAGCTGTGTGCATCACAGCTAGCGAGACAGCTCTGTCCATGCCACTCCGTGCCAGGCTGCTGTGTCACATACCTCTGCTACGTACCTGCTGCCTCCATTCACTTTGGGCAGAGGGATTTCCATCACTGCTTACGATCCATGCTCCATCTGATGGTTTTAAAACAAAGCCACACAGAGCAGCTATGCCAGGTGGCAGGGGGAAATTTTGCCATGCAAATAGGCTGCAATCTCACCTGTGTCCTGAGCTCTCCATCCCCCTCCAAATTCCAGTTCTGATTGACAATGGATCGTGAATCTTTACATATTGTGACAATCACTTAACCAATGACCTTACACGGTCAACTCTAGCTCCAAACTATTTAAGTCAACTCCAAGGATGAAACAAACCAGGAAGCCACTCCCAGACTTGTGTCTCTGAATGCTCAGTCTCCAAGAGGACCAGGAAGCACTTAGATCTTGCTATTTTTATGTTACACTGAAAGAGCTGCCCATTTGTTCTAGCATCCCTGCAAGAACTTTAGCAAAATGAAATTCAACCCTCTCCCTCCTGTACAAAGGTATGTTTTTCAAACCAGAGAAGCCCTGCGCTCCATGAGTATTCTCAGAGTTATTTAATAATGCAGGTATAGCTTCCAGATATTGCAGCTTACTTTTGGCTATGATGATAAATGCTTTGAAAACAACAACAGACAAAGTGGCTGTATGCCAGAGGGGAAAGAAATGAACAGCAAATTTGGTTTGTACAGTGGGAGAGGACAGTAATTGCAGTGCATCTATTGCAGTAAAGATTTAGTACATGCAAGGCATCAAGCTGCTAGAAACAGAAGCTGTGCAAATATGGGGGGGGAGAAAAGGGGGAGACGGGAAGGAGCTTAGGGCCGAAACCACAGTTGTTCAAACAAACTGGATAATTGTGGCCCCATTTCCACACACATGTCCAGGTGCAGACTGATCTCAGCCAGCATCTGTGGAAAATGTCACTTGGCCCAGGAGCAAGCAACACGAAAGCAAATGCTGCACACACACACATAGAGCTTGTTGTTGGCAAGCTGCACTAGGAAAGTGTCCTCTGCGGTCTGTGCTGCATGGTGGCCCTCTGGACAGGGATATGTAAACTGTTTCTTGTCCCACAGCACGTAATGTTTGTCACAGCACTGGGTCAGCACGGGTACAGCAGAGCTTGTCTACCCTGCAGCCACCAGGCCACTCCAGTGACAGGTACCACTGCTGGTGCCAGAGGTCTGCAAGCATTTCCCTGAGCAGCACTTGCACAGATTCTGTTTTAATCAAAATATTCAAGAACAGGATGGGATTTTGCTCGCTTTTGCATTGTTGGTGTTGGCGTTTAGGAGAACCTTTGTCTAGAGACTTACGCAGTTTCTTTACCAGGCGATGGGGATGCACACAGTGGATGGGCTGTGATGCTGAGCCTGGAAGAGGTGCAGCACAATCACTGCCTTCCTGCTGCCCCATGCCATGTGGTCGAGATTGCACAGCCCCGTCCTTGCAGCAACTCCCTGCCTGGTTACGTAAAGCCTTTGGCCGAAGTGTAGGCACTATTTCATGCACCGGTTTTGTTCCGTTTTCACTTTGATTGGAGATCTGGATAACCCTGAGATCAGTGAAAAAGACAGACAAAGTGCACTTGGTGAAAGCAGCTGAGTTTATTCTACCTTCTGTGTTTCGTAGGGTGGAAGTCTGTCTGGCTTACCCAGCCTCCCTGTGACAGACATCAGGTTGAAACAAGAACAGAAAAATATAGAATGAAAGAAAAAAGGTGTTTTGCTCAAAGCACTAAAAATACCATCAATTAAAACAAAAAATATGCTTTTTAAATTTTCTCTCCACAATGTCTTCAGGTTCTAGGTCAAAGCTCTGCGGTCTACACTTACTTCCCCTTTCCTTCCACTTCGTTCTGCCGCAAGCCATAACGAGCACACAATGTGGTCACTAATTGCAGAGCAGAGTGCCCCACTGCTTCAGAGTGCCAGCAGACAGGCAGACAGACAGACTTACACATCCCAGACAGACAGGGTGCTTCCTCCACCCCATGCAGGCAGTATCATAGAGGATTTAAAACCAGCATCAGCCCCCACCTTGCACTTCCCTCCCAATGTAACTCAGTGGCTGTGTTCCTTGCATGTGTGGGGTTGCAAGCAGCCACAGGGATATCCTTCATAATGCCAGTCTGTGGCAGCAGCTTCAGAAATCAAGCCCAGGGTTGGTATAAGAGAGCCCTGGCATTGCTGTAGCCCATACAGCTTTGAGCTCCTTCCCTTGTAGCACTCCTAAAGCATTGCTCAGCTCCACAGCCACAGCACAAAGTGGCTGAACCCACCCAAAAGCCTCACGTCCTGCTTTTACCTGCCTTTTCTTACCTGCTTTTATCACGGGGACATTCGGGGGCAGGTGACTGGCTGGGATAACTCAGTGCTCACCCGCTGGCATAAGGAAACAACCCTGCGTGTTTTATTTAACCTGACAGCTTGATTCTTTGTGGATGCACTTTCAGAATGAATTTCTGGAAGTTCATCAGCCACGTTGCTCTGACAGGGCAGGAACCAGGAGAAAAGGTTATCTGATGGTCCAGCTGAGAGGGTTGGGTGTGGGATGTTACAGCCCTGGATGGAGGCTCAGGAGACACCCGCTGTGCACCCACAGCAGCCACAGGCTGCCCGCTGTGGCCCTGAGGAGCTGCATCACCCCTGGGCACCTTGCTTCCCTTCCTGTGAAACAGGAAATTTTCCTTCTCCACCTTCATTGTTAGCGTGTTTGCTCTGCAGAGCCAGGCTGGTCTCTGCCCGTGTTTGCACAGGCCTGATACAATGGAGTCATGATCCAAGGTGTTGCCGTCATAAAAATAGAAACAGAGAACAATGTCTTCCTTAAAAACAAGGCTTTTAAATCTATTCACCGTGCTAGCCAGCGACTCAAATCAAAGGCACAAATTGTATCATGCTTGGTAATAATTTGCAGAAAGTAGCTATGGATTTTCTACCTGGATTAATTTCCCCTTTATTTGCAACACATTGCAATGTGATTTTTCTTCAAAGTCCCTTTTTTTTTTTTGTGAAGTCAGATCTGATCCCCATTAGTGTCGCTTTCATGTAACTGAAGAAGTGTGTCGACATTTTCCAATACAGATTAAAGCCCCAGAAAACAAGGCAGGGGGTGGTGGGGTGGTGTGAACTGCTTGGCTCTCAGGAGAGCAGTGTGAAATAGAAAAAAAACTGCCAGGCATTATGCTGAAAACTATCTTTCAGAATGCCTGTTTTAAGAGCTCTCTATTTCAGTCAATTATTGAGAAAATACAGCCTTAAATAATGGTGGATGGAAAATAAATAATATTTCTGCCAGATGAAAGAATAATTTGCAGAGAAGCCAATTTCATATTGGCTAATATTTTGATTTTTTTTTTTAATTGAGGTATATGCTGCTATGCCGTGTTTTGCTGACGAGGTTTTTTTCTTGTGTAAGGGAACAAAGGGAATGTTATAAAAATAATCATTTCATCATAAATTTCTGCTCTTCTAAGACTAAAATGACCATTGCTTCTTAAAATAAAGTCTTTTAAGAGCAATTTACATAAAAATATACACTGCTTGTTTCAAAATTCATTCAGTTATTTTTCCAAGCAGGAGACATTATGATTGATGTTCCTCCCAGCTAGAAGTCATTCCTCTGAGCTCAGCAGAGCTGCCTCTGCTGTTCATGAGGTAGAAGAAAAGGTGAATGAAGCCTAATAATTTTTTTTCAAGAGTAAATACAGTCTAAGTGGAGTCACAGCCAACAGGGAGTGCAAGATATTCCTGGAAACTTAGTCGAATTGCAACGTATGACCTGATTCAAAAATAGCATTCAGGCGTGGAATGATTAACGGAAAGGTTAGGTGCATTAATTCTAACCTAAGAGTTAGCAGTTTAAAGAGCAGAAACCCAGTACAAATTCCTCTCTTGAAAGGGCCACACATTTCAGAATTAATTTTCAGTGTAAAACAGGATGAGAGGTTAAAAATTATAAAACGTGCTAAGAGCAAACCTTCTGCAAATAAATAAGTAAGCAAGAGGATCTGCTGGAAAAGCTGAGCTCTTTCATTTCAAGACTTTTAAATCAAAGGGGTGCTCACACCAATTTGCATCAGCCTTATTTTTAATGGGTTTGCAACAACCTGCAAAATTTTGACTCAATATTTCTAGCTGAAAATTCATGTCCAGCCCTATGCAGGAATTTAGATTTTTTTTTTTTTTCCTGTTCGAAGAACAAAATCCTCGGGCCCTTCAGATCCCCTTCTGCACATCCAGGGCTGGGCTGCAGCCACTACACAGCTGGGTCCTGCAAGACCCAGCCTGCACTGAAAAGGCCACCAAACATCCCACAGACATGCGAGGGTGGGAAGTACCCTTCTGAGGTTATGGGGGCTGGATCTCACTCTGTCCCATCTTCTGCTTCATATGAGTGCAATCACACACGAATAAAGGCTAAGGACCTCATAGGCTCAGGTTTGCACTCACCTTCTCTCATGTATGCACACACAAACATGCAGAGGGTTAAGACCAGGCATTTCATCCATCTGCATCTGTTGTTTTTCCAACATGACAATCAGTTCATTGTCCGCAGCGGCTGCCACACTGAGAAGAAAGTGGAAGACATCTCAGCAGGATATAGAGAAAGCATTACCAATGTTTAAAACCTCCATGCTAGCCAAGGGAGAGGAGGGAAAAACAAAAAAAAAGAAAAAAGAAAACCTTCCAACTTCAGGTTTTCCTATCATAAAGTTTAAATATTTCCGAGATTTCTGCTTATGGTGTTTAACATTTCTGCTTCCTCAGTCATGTGTGTTTAGAACTTCTGGACAAATGTTTGGCTGATCTTAGCAAGCTGCAGGCAAACAGCAGCTGAAGTTTGGTACCTGAAGCTAAGCACAATTTTTGTTTCCCAACCTTGTTGCTGGGAATACAAAGCAGCAATTTTGTCATGGCCCTCCAAAGTCCCAGAATTAGGTACTTGATTTTCAAGCACCAGAGATGCTGTTTTTAATTATGCTGCCATAACCTGGATTGATGCCTGAGGCACCTCTTTGCTCGCTGAGCAGAACAGGTCTGACAGTGGGGGACTTGCTCAAACGCACGTGGCGATGCCTTGGGGACATCCATGTGGCTCTGTGCCCAAATTCAGCATCCAAACACACCTCAGCCCATCACAACCCACATCTTTGCATCAGGTACTGCAGCCAGCTCAAGGCAGATCTGCTCAGCTTCCCTGGCACCTGCATGTAAGCAACAGGAGACCCAGGCTCTCTGCACAGACAGCAGCCAAGCTGGTGATTGCTTCCCGGTTTGTATTCCTGCATGTCAGTCATATTTCCCCTGATATCAGGCTGTTCTGGGAAATACAGCTCCATGAACTTCATTCCTTGGCTGTTCTACCACAATTACTAATGCTGATTAATTTGGGGTGGCCCTGAGAACAGAACCAGCTTGGCCAGCACACACCAAGATGCTCCTTGGCCATTCTTAACCAGGAACTCTTCAGTACTCCTAGAAATGAAAGATCCCCAACTTGTCAGCCTCAGTCCTCAAAGAATGCAACCCACTGGTGAGGATTAAAATGCCTTTGCTGAAGTCCCTCTTAGCAAGCACCTGGGATCTCTGGATTTTGTGCCCTACCATCAGCATTAGCTCAGCTCCTGCTGCCATCTAGCAGAGACAATGGCAGATCGTCACTGTTTTTAGGGAGACAGCAGTGTCTAACAGATGATGCTATTAGCGAGCTTTGTCTCTCCAGACTGCTTTTCTCCCTCTCAGGCACAATAAATAAATAAATCTGGCTCTGACCCTCGAGCAGTGCAAGGAGAGAAGAAGTAGAGAGCTGCCTTGATTCCACCAACTGTGCAGACAGTCTCTGGAATTATTTTGTGAAACAACCTGTGAATTGCCTGCGCACATTTCAGTGAGCTTTGTCTCATTTTGCCACTAATCTTCCATTTATTCCAATGCGATTTATCAAGTCTCATGTTCCCTTGATAACCAGATACTTGTCATAACTTTGGAGATAGTCTTTTCCCCAGCACTCAATTGCAGTTAGAGAAATGACTTTTGCCATACACGGACAGGAGAGAGGAACTCAGCAAACACTCAAACACTCCCTTTGTTCCCACCTTCTCTCTCTGGAGAAAAATTCACACTCCTTGCTCTACTTACCATGCTCTCAGCATCACCGTTAAGAGACTCCAAATACATCCGTTGCAGAATTAGGTTTCAATAAAGAGCTGATTTAAAGAGTCTTGACTGACTTCATCTGTGTTAAAATAAATGAAAATGCCATGGCATCTGGTCTTCTGCAAGACAGGTCAGCACAGACAGCTAGAATACTAATAAGACTGTTCCAATTATCAGTAACTCTTAATTATCTCAGAGCTGTACTACAATAGCCTCTGCTATTGACTTGAGCCATAACCCCAGCTCCAGCAAAACATGTATTCCTAGACACAGTGCTATGGTAATGGAAACTTTAAAAATATTTCATAGAGCTAAAAATACAGATATAGATAATAATCTACATTCTGCCTTTCATTTTTTGGATAGGCTCACACTGCAGTCACAGCCAAAGTTTTGTTCTTTCACTCGTCTCAATGCCACAAAAACCGCATGATATCATGAAGGGCACTTCCCCTCCATCAGGGTTAAGACGACACCTAGTATTCTTCATTGTTTAGGAGTGATCATAGGATTTTTAATAATATGTTCAGGTTCTTTCTATTTATACTACTTAATGCTACATTGTTCCTCTGTCTAACATTTGCTTGGATTTAGAGCTATTACTTTCAGTAAAGAGTAAAAAGACCCTTAACTACAGTATCACCAAAGTGCACACAACGAAGTCTGCTTGCCTGCAAATTTAGTGCATTAAGTAATAACTTAAGCATTACTAGTTACTTAATTACTTAAGCATTACTAGTTACTTAATTACTTAAGTATTACTAGTTCACAACTCAGGAGCAGAACTGCCTTCCATGTGGACAGCTGATGATGCACAGGGAGCTGAACTACTCAGGAAGCACCTACCAGTCTGCTGCAGTGCATAGCCCTATATTTAGACAGAATGAAACCTAACAAAACACTCTCAGACACGATGTCAGTTGTTCCTCAGTTCCCAAAGCACTACAATCATGGTAGTCGTTTCCATCTAACACAGCTTTGCACAACACTGAGGTCCCAACAGCTCCCTCAGGACTGTATTACTGGAGGAACTGGGCACAGCTTTTCTTGCAGAGACTCCAAAGCCCCTTGGATTCTGCTATTGGCAAAGATGAATTTGTTCAAAGATTGATTAGCAGAGCAATAACTTACTGAGAAGCAGGGGAAATCCTCCAGTGCTGATTTTACAAACAATGAGGTCAATGATTCCGATAAATCAACTTCATTCATGCTGTCTATAAATAAGTAATGTCCCAGACTGGGAAGAAGCTGGCTCATGTTTTAGTGTTGTGCTTGTTCTGAAAGCATTGGGAACTTCCATTTTCTTTCAACCATTTCTGGACCAGAATCACTCTGCTTGATCTTCCTAATCCACTTCCACTGCTTTTGTGTTCTTTGTCATGTAGGTTGGCTAACACTGAAATCTATCTTCTCAATGCACTTTGGAAGATTTGCAGCACCTCATATCAGCTGTTTGAATTCATTCTATGATTCTATGATTCTTAATAAAAGTGATTGGTGGACCGGTACCTCTCTTCTGTTAGCTGCCTCTGCACAGCAAATACACAGCTGTGGAGAGCTGTGGGCACATTATTAATCTATGGCCTCTTTCTTCGCAAGATGGTAAAACAAAAACAACAAAATGAAGTAAATCATAAATCTTTTTGTGGGATGGCTCTGTATGGATGAATCCATTCCTGTTGCAGAATGGGACAATAGAGCTGTTACTCGGTGCTGGACTGCTTTCCCAGTGCAGCTGCAATGGAGGTCAGGGTTGGGCATTTTCCCACTAATTCTACTGGAGTCCTAAAACTGATGCAGACGGCATTCGAGGAGAGGGGATGCTTGTTGCACATGTCCTTCTGCCTGTCTTTGCTCAACCCTAAGCACAGGGGAGATGAGACAAATTAGAGCCCAAGGGGAAGAGCAATCCCTAGAGGCAGTTTAGAGTTGCCTGGAAAGGGAACTTTGAAAAATGTTTAGATATTGCATCTCAGATGCTTCCAGAAGAACCTGAAACATCCTGCTGACAAAGCTTGTCTCTGCATAGTCAAACCCAGACTTTCAAAAATCTGTAACATTGACTTCCATACCACTAGAACTTTGAAGGACTCCACATGGTTATTTGCCTCCCACCTTGTGAAGCTTCAGAGGGCATTTGAGTCATAGTCTCCAGGTTTTCCATGCAATTGCAGACTTAAAAATACTAAATAGCAATAAAAATACTAAATACTGAAAAGCCAGGAATGACTTGACTTTGGCCTTAAGAAAAGAAAAAAGAAAAGAAAAAAAAAAAACCTACTGCAAGACTCGTTAAATAATGAGAAAATGAGAATAATCAACCAATGCAAGTTTTATGTCAGCAGCTGAGGAATGACAGGTAGAAATGGAAAAGTCATGTTACTGCTGGCTAGGTCGTTAGTAAAACTATTGCTAGACCACACTGTCTCATCCTAGTGACTGGTTGAAAAAAAGTATTTGGAATAGAGCTACAGGAATGATCTAAGAACAAGAAAATATGCCTTGTAGGAAGACACTAGATAAGCTATTTAGAGCAGAAAAAATGATTCTATGAATCCTATCTGGCTTTAAAATCACTAGATGTCTGTGGCCTACAGACAAAGCGAATTCTTCACCACCTCATTAGACCAAGAGCTCCACTGAGTAAAATCAGCTGAATCCTGGCCCTGGAGGCCTCTCTGTGCTCCCACCTCAGGGAGCAGACTGGAAATGTTTTTCAGATATTGTAAATATCAGATGGGCACACATATTTGCTCAGCAGAACATAGATCTCATCCATTGATGAGGTGACAGCAAATGGTGAGGTTTACTCAGAGCCCTTCTTTTGAAAAATGCTGGCTAGCAAAGGCCTGTACAAGCCGGTAGTAGATGATTACAGGAGTAATTAAAGAAAGGCATTTAGTACAATTTACATCTAAAGTACAGTATTTAGGCCAATTACAGGGCAAAACAGCATGCTTTTGGCTTTCCTTTCAGAAAGAATATACTCAAGCTGCAGAATAAGTTTGAGTAGAAATCAGTTTTCCCGTAATCAGATCTTGTTTGTCACAAAGGAGGAAATTAGGGAACATGCCATGAGCAACGTGTGACTTGATTTCCCGGAGACAATGCACGCATGTGGGAGCAGAGAATGACCCAGGCTTGAGTCATGGGGCACTTGCAGACCCAGGGTGAGCCAGGGGTCTTGTAACACTGCTTCTCATCTGCCCTGAGTGTGTTCATAGAATCACAGAAGGGTTTGGGTTGGAAGAGACCTAAAAGATCACATAGTTCTAACCCACCTGCCATGGGCAGGGACACCTCCCACTAGACCACATTGCTCAAAGCCCCATCCAGCCTGACCTTGAACACTTCCAAGGATGGGGCATCCACAGCTTCTCTGGGCAGCCTGTGCCATGGCCTCACCACCCTCACAGTAAAGAATTTCTTCCTAATATCTGATCTAATCTACTATTTTTTATTTTAAAAGTATTACTCCTTGATTCATGAATGCACTTGACACACTACCCACAATGACTTCGTATTCTTGTTGAATATCCAAAATGCTATTTTTTAAAGCCTGGAACATGTAGCCCCAGTGGCTACTTAGGTGTGGGAAACAAAGGGAATTAGAGACCTAAACGTCTTTAAGGCATGTTTGGGTTTCGAACCCTAAGTGGAGCATAAAAGATCCTCACATTTCAGCCATAAAGACCCCAATTTAGGGATTATGAATTAAAATAAGAAGACAACTTACAAAGAAGTTTGGTTTACAGTAGCATTCTGAAACTGGGCACAAAATGAAGTTGACAGTATTGTTTCCTCTTGAGCAAGGCCTCCATGAACAAGGGCCTTTGGAAGTGAAAGGAAATCTATAAGGCATACATTGTGAAGGCATCTCTATCCAGAAATGAAAATTTTGGTCAAGAGTTTACCCATCCCTTAAAACAGTAAGAACTCAAAACTTCCATCTAAATTCCACTGCGGCTGACAAAAACCTGCACTTCTGCTCTTCCATCTTATTGATTTTTACCCTCTTTCCCAGCTGGAAAAAAACACTGGGGCATTTCTACTTTCAGCAGGTCAACCTGAATTGTAGTTGTTATACTGATGTCCATTAGTCTATGTAAAGTAACATGCATCTGGTACGTATGATCATAGTAAACAGAAAAATACACAAATTTAAATGTCAAAGCTTGAAAGCAAGGGCATAAGGTGGCTCCTATGACCATTCAAGGCTTGACAGAATAATTTGCCCCAAAAAATGAGAAAGTCTTTCCATCCAGGCAGGTACTGCTGTCTCTGCTTGCTGTCAGGCTCCTGGCATCTCTCTCCAAAGCAGCTGGACCTTAATTTGTTGGCAGTAAGGCACTAGAATAAATAGATGACTTCTCCCATGTGCTATCACATTAGACATTGCCTAAACTATGGCATATATGCTGACTACTGGTTTCACAACCCTTTGATTCTGCAAGCATTTCAAAGGCATGGAAAAATTCCTCGTGATGTGCATGTCCACTTCCCTGTACCTAAGCAAAGGGCATCTGAACTACTGTATCCTAGTTTGGTGTCATACCAGAGACTTACTTGTTACTTCATGCCATTAATCAAGCAGAAGAGATTCTGGAAGGGTTGCAGACCATTTACATCAGCGCAGACCATGAGCATTGCTGAAGGGTTCTTCCAAAGGCATGATTCAGTCCCACAAAGTAGCAAGAGCTTTGCTGCAAGGAAATGAAACACAACGGGGAAAGAGCTTGGTAAAGACTGACCATTGACAGGTGAATCTGGAGAAACACAGGCCACAAGAACATTGAAAAAGAGGGTCAGATTATCCCCAAACAGATCACTTACATATAAACAGAGCTTCCAAGCTCAGACCAGTTCGGTGTCCACACACGAGACCCAGCCCAGCAACTCCATCTAGCACTACTTTTCTGCTGTGGCCTCCAAGCAGGACAGCATGTTTAGGCCCATTAGCAAAACAAAACAAAACAAAACAAAACAAAAAAAAAACAGGTACAGACCTGCAACAAAGCCCTGTAGGTGACCCAAAATTGCCACTCAAACTCCAGCAAGCAATACCTAGCCAAGTTATGATTCAACAAACATTTTTAAAACATTGTTTTGCCCATCCTGCACTTGGTTAAAACCACCAAGTGAAAGGAGGAAAATGTCTGCACTGTTGTGTAGTCTGACGCCACACAAACTGGAGCTAAAGCAGAACCAGGGCTGCAGAAGTATTTGGCCATGTTTTATTGCTGACCCCACTGTACTTGCTGTTAAAGGCCATGCCATTTAAGTGCAATACAACCAAAATGCTGTAAGATTGTCTTCCAGGTTTGTAATCCTAATAATACACACTCTGATTCATCAATCTGTTTAAATCAGAACAACCGGTAAATGGCGAGAAGAGTTCATATTTATCGGGTTACTCCAAGACTACTCATAAAACTTAGATCACAAGCCTGTAAATGAGCCCATGTTACCCCCATGACCACAAAAGAATTCACTGTTGGCTTCCTATAGGCCTGGCCACTGGAGAACAGGAAACGATAGTGACAGGGTAAGTAAGAGTAAACCAAGATAAAGCCAAAAGCAAGACCTACGGATCTAGCAGAAAAATCTCAGCTAATAAATATGACCTACCGAGTGGACATGCTGAATGGTCTTCTGCCTGACAAAGACAGACAGATAAACTTTTAGTATAAAAATACCATGATGCTTTCACAGGCAAAACCCATTTATTTTGGCATTCGTTTTGCTGTGGTAGAAATTTCAGCACTAATACGTTAATCTAGACAACACTGTTGCAAGAGCCAGAAATTACTTGAAATGTCAGTGTGGACCATTTGGTCCCCTCTGCATTTGGAGCCAGGGATCCAAATACAGTAGTTTGCTGTTGCTGAAGTTATGATAGCAAAACTGTTCTGCTGGGGTCGTAGCTGTGAACTTAGAGAGGTGATGTGCATAGGTGGGATATCCTCCAGTGATGAGATAGATTAGAACAAGGAAAAAGAAAAAAATACAAAGATGAATGGGGAAAAAAGGAAAAAGAAATGTGTGGTGCCATCTAGAAATTCACAGCAGGATGCTCTAAGGAGAATTAAAAGTGATGTGCAAGCTGGGTAGACCTATGGTGTATTTTTCGGAAATTTCTTAGCCTTTGTGTAGGTGAAGAGTAGTGGTAGGACACCACTGACCTCTTAATTCCACCTCAGCCATTCCAGAATACCACCAAGAGCCAAACTGAGGTGTGCAAACTATCAGCAACTGTTCAGTGTGACTCCACAGACCCACTGTGAAATATTCACCATGATTCCATGGACCACAGAGCACAGAAAATAACCTAGGAACCATTGCAGCACATCCTTATGGATATGCCACGTATCAGAGATGTCTTGGACTGCTATCCAAAGGGTTCGTCTCCAAGCCATACCAACTCCCGCAGCAAGGGAGCAATTTGCATCTGCACTGGGGCTTTTTGCCAGTGTAACGCTGTTGGTCAGAAGGCACCAAGAGATGGGCCAGCAAAACTTCACATCAGCCTGAGTGAATTTCAGTGTAACTTCTCAGTGTTTAAAACACTGAAGATCTGAGTTGATCTTCTGCAAGCATAACCCAGCTCACTCTGCCTATGTTCAGGGTTAGCCAGCATCAGAAACAAAGCTGGTAAGGTTAGGCCACCTGCACCTCCACACAGCTGCCACATGAACGTGGAGGTGGGCTTTGGAGCATGGAGGTGCTTTGGAGGTGGTCTGCAGACTCCATACAAATTCAAGCAAGGACTGACAGTGCGACTGACACGCTCACTTCCAGTCCTAAACACCACCAAAAGTTACAGTCCTGGGCTCTTCCACCCATGGCATGGACCTCATGCCCTCATGCATTTGTAGTAGCTCCATGGTCAACACCTAGCCCAGTTTCAAGTTCCCAATAGGAGTTGCACTGCATACAAGCAACCTCCCAAAGCGAGGAGCTGAAGGAGAATTCTTGGACCCTTTTCTATCTTCTCTTTCTCCTCTTTCCAATTACAAGGCAGACCCCATAGTGGCCTGTTGTGCTCTCATCAGCAAGTCTGGTCCTTGCTGAGCCTTTGTACGTTCAGGATGTCAGTTTTGCTCTTTATATGTGCTTGCAAAATTACCGCATCGCTTTGCAAGCAAGTAAAGCTGCTGAATAATCGGTCTGTCCGACACACACTGACAGAGACTTCAAGTCTAGGAGATTTCAAGCAGGACTTTGTTTGCCGGTCTAGGAGCTATTACATTCTAAAAACTGGTAGGTGCTTTTCTCTTGCAAAGCTCTCACCACTTAAAAAAAAATAATAATTAAAAAAAAAAAAACTGACATTTTCAAGCCTCCTCTTTGGCAAAAGTAACTATAAATCTTTCCCAGCCCTCATTAAGTTGTGATCAGACAATGGTGCCAGTCTTGGCCTCCCCTAAGTTGTAACTCTATGTTCCTCATGCTTTAAAACAAGTAACAGTCCATGGGCTGTGAGAGTAACATTATTTTGAGCAACTTTCCTAAAGAATGTTTAACATCTTCCACTGGTTAATGGGTGGAACCAGATTCCCCCCTTCTTTCCTGTTGAGTAGTAACAACTTAAGGAGATTCACTGGTTAACTAAATGTCATTAATACATATCGTACCCATGACACAAAATAATCCTGATTACAGAGATCAGCTAATAACAGGGTTCATTCAGAAGCAATAACAAAACATTAGATCCATGCTGATGGGCTCAGAATGAAGTCCAACATGATTTCAGCTGAAGGAGTAAACATCCTGAGGGTGATCACTAAACCAAGCCATGCTTCTCTTCAACTGCAACAGAATCTGTTCAACATCCCTGCAAGCATTAGTGCTCCTCTTCCTCTCTGTCCTTCAAAGCATCCATCACACATCTCCATGTTAAGCACTAGCATTTTACCTGTAATTGCATGACACAGGACAGGCATTGCACCTCCAAAACCAACTGAGCATCACCCCTTTCTGAATGCTTCACTGTGTCACAGCCTGGAATAAACAAAAGAATAAAAACCACTTTGAACAAACCATTACAAACCTACCAAACACACAGCAGTAAGGTGAATCCTTTGCTTTTAAGTCCTAGCACCATGGGGGCATCATCTGGTGGCTGCAGACACAGCAGCAAATAATTTTGCAAAAGCATTTGCTTTAGTTGTGATTTTAGGTGCCCTTCGATTTGGGTTGAATCTATACGTTTGGTTTAGGGTGCATACTGTAAGATACACATCAATGTCTACCACAGGGGTGTATGGGCATTTTAGGATTAAAAGGTCACAAAAATTAGGTCAGAGGTTGGACTCGATGATCTTGAGGTGTCTTCCAACCTAGAAATTCTGTGATTCTGTGATAACCAAGTCCACTGCCTTGTGCATAAACAGCATCTCTCTGCTTCTCTCTTTCAGTAACTGTGACTGTGGGAGGACAGCAGCACTTGCTGGGACTTTACGACACTGCAGGGCAGGTAAACTACTACAGATCATTTATAAGTTTACTGTCCCGTGATTTGTTTGTTACTGTCGCATATTGGGTTTTGCTGCTTGTGCTGTTGTGCTTTTGTGTTTTTTGTTTGTTTGTTTAACAAATATTTGTCTGCTTAACAAATATGAATAATTTAAATTTGTTAAAATTTATTTCAACATTAACAATATATATTAAAAATGTAAAGCTGTAATGGTTGAACTGCTGACCTACTTTTTGTTATTTTACACATAGGTTTCGTTCTGGTTCAGCAGTAAAACATACACACATCCCCAAGATGGAATTTTGTCTAGGCCAAAAACAAAGCCTGATGAGGCTGTTCAGCCTCCCATATACCTATCCCCTACAGCAGGTACAGCGCTTTGCAAAAGTCAGTATTTTCTTCCACTTACCACATGGTGGCATTGGAGATACAGGGAAGAATTACAGTTTCCAACACCAGAAAACTAAGGTAACATAGCACCAGGCTATTGGTCACCAGCTATCAACTTTTTAAATGTTAACCCAGGCAGCTTGGCACCCATCCCAGCATCCCAACACCCAGGCCAAGGATGTCCATTACAGGAGAGCCTGTACCCCGTGCTAACTTGCAGATGTGATGTTTTTACTGCTTCCACTGCCTGTGCTGTGGTGCAGTGTGGGTGCACTGTGAGGCTGCAGAAAAGCCCTGGTCTGGGGGCTGCGTGCACCCCTTGGATATATGGGGGCAGAATTTCTCACTGCCTTGCTCTGCCAGGAGAAGGGCAAGGGAAGGTACCAGGAGCAGCACATGTTCACAATGAAATTTTCCTCTCCTACCTCCAAAATGCCAGCAAGGGAGAGAGGGAGGGGGTCACGGGTCCTTCCCAGACAGGGAATGTCCACCAACTCCTCCTGTCAGAGCTGTCACTGGAGGCAGCAGGAGAGGAAAGCAGATATGGGAGGTTACAATTGGGACAGAGCAGCTCAGGGTGCTGGGCTTTGCATTCAGGAGCACTCCTTATCTGCATGTTTTTGTCCATGACTGCTATGAAATTCATAAACCATGCAGGAGGAGACTCTCCTGTCAGCCAAAGGCCACTCGTTACAGGCTGTACTTCACAGCAGTATGTAGAGAGGTCAAAAACTGCATCACAACAGACTATCACTTCCAGAAAAAGCTGTACTCAGCAGAGCTCAGGACTTTATGCTCTGCGTTTCGCATTGTTTTATTCCTATCATGTGTCTGTAGGCAGCAGAGGTCACTTCATGGCTAGCTCCATGCTAGTTACAGTCCACTCACCCCTTCTGTCTTCAAGGTGCAAACAGACAATCCAAAAGCCAGACCCAAAATAAGAACCAAGTCCTTGTCCTGCATCAGAAATTTGAGAAGTGCTTGTGCAACTTTCTTTTCTGCACTCACAAATGTGGAGCTCTGAGAGTGTCTGTCATGATCTGGCAGCTCTGCAAGCCCCTGCAAATGAGACTGAAGTTATATTCAGATCTCAGTCAGATTTTACCCAGTGCCTTAATATTTCTGTGTGTTTTGAAGGGCTGACACTTCCACCTGCCACCCATTTCCTCAGCAACACATCCTCTTATTTGTCCTTCTGAGCCAAAAAAAACCATAAATCCGTTTGGCTGACAAACCTCACCCCTCCCTCCGTCCCTCCACAGTCATCTTGCCATCTCCTGCTTCAAACTAGCCAGAGCACCACCTGCCTCCAGGCGACATTTCCAGCTCCTCGGGATCGTTTCCATCTCAGACTTGGGTCCAGCAGACGTGGCCATCTAGTCAAAACTTGGAGTGTGAATCACTTCTCGATGACTAGATTGTATCTGCGTGGAGGCTGGAGGGATGATGCTTCCCACATGCTCAAGCTATAACGACAGATCATCTGGGTTGTTTCCTCCCTCTTTCTCCTTGTGCTGTGTGGCTTTCCAAAGGCATTGGTGTGAAGTCATAGCCAAAAATAGCACTTGCCGTTACAATGCTATAAAACACATGCTAATGAAATAACAATTGGAGAATGTACTCCTGCAGCAGGACCCTCCGTCAGCCTGGAGGGAGAGCTGGCAGGGACCCCAGATCTGGGGTATCTGGTTTTCTGCTTCCCTGGCACAAAAGTCCTAGGAAGAAAAAATAAAAAAAATGTACTTTTCTATTTCTTTTTTTTTTCTACAAGCTGGACTCAGGTGTGGAGTGCTTTAATGACAGTAAGTGTATGCAGAGGGATCAAATAAACAAACAAAAACAACAGCAATTAAAAAAAAAACAGGGGGAAAAAAAAAAGTAATAAATAAATAAATAAAATACAAGTTTTGCTGAACTTTCTCGGGCACAGCAAGCCACAGGAACCTAAGAGCAAGGCCAGGCCTGGCGCTGGCCTTTCCATGCCAAACCAGTAGCCAGGCAGTGTGGCTGGAAGCCCTGCATTCTCCAAACAACAGCCAGAAAAACGCAAGCATGAGCCAGTGAAACAAATTAATAATCAGCTACAGCCCACGTGCATGAAGACTCACATCCCTTCCCAAACATCACTATCGCTAGCTGCAACACCTCCAGATATGCCCCGAACCCAGGCAAACATCCAGTGCCTTTTTTACACTATTTAATTGGTTGACTTCAACAACTGTCTCTGAATGACAAATGGTCCTGATGTGCTGTATTTCATAAAGGTCTTTTGCAAGGTTTTGCAGCCTTCCCCTGTAGCAGAGTGAGCAGGAACAGAGACAGGGTCCTCACCTGATGTGCTCTGGAGGCTTCTGCAGCTTACAGACAGGGATGCATGGGGTCAACTCATACTCATGACATCTGTGCTTGTGCATTAGCACATCCATAAGAGCTCTGGTGTGCCCTGACCTCCGCTATGTGACAGGTGGCTGTCCCTCCTTATGGCTTATACAGGGCTCTGTGCTGCTAGCACAAATCAGGAAGGTTTATCAGGAATAAGGAATATCCTTTCCTCCTGAAAAAAAAATATTTGGGGGGCTCTGGAGGAACAAGCAAACTCCAGTTAAATGCACACTTCTGTAGCTGGCACCGCTAGGCAGAGCACTCGTGGCTTTTAGTTCGTAATTTTAATGGTACAGTAAGTCCCGGCCCCTCTAATTAGACACATCTGGAATATGGAAACCGCTTACCTTTAGCCAATTTCTTTCCAAAAAAAAAAATCTTGAATCAAGATTCCTCGAGGGCTTGCTGCCACCACGTGGCTATTTCAGGAGGCTGATTTGCAGTGATTAAACTGAAAGCACACAGGAAAGGACTTTGCCAGGCACTGAGCATCAGCCCACACTGACCTAACAAACTTCATATCTTCAATGGTCCCACCAGTGTCTCTGATTTTCCTTTCCTGCCATTCCCTGTACATTGGTACCTAGCCTGTCTTGGCTGATACATCCAAACACCTCCTCTTACCATGTAAATCCTTCAAACCAAGCCTTTCTGTGACACTGGTGAGACAGGTCATTCAACAAACACTCTGGCTTGAAGAAAGCAGCAGGTTATCTCCATCACCTGACTTCCCCAGTGCACCAAGGGAGCATCCTCACTGAAGGACAGAGGTCTCAGATGAAGTATTCCGATTTCAAACAGCTCCAGAAAAAACAAAACAAAACAAAACAAAACAAAACAAAAAAAAAAAAAAAAAAAGACTCTTTCCCCTTGGTTGGGTCAAAGGGAGGATGACTTTTAACTAAATCCAGTCAGAAACGTGCTGTCCCTTGAAGTGTGCAGAGCACAGCAGGGAATTTGCAGCCAGGGCTGTAAACCAGGGCTGCCCCAACCCACAGTTATCCCCCATCCCATAACACACTTCCCATTCTCCCCTGGCAGGAGGACTACAACCAGCTGAGGCCCCTGTCCTACCCCAACACGGACGTGTTCTTGATCTGCTTCTCAGTGGTGAACCCTGCCTCGTACCACAACGTCCAGGAGGAGTGGGTCCCCGAACTGAAAGTCTGCATGCCCAATGTGCCTTACGTCCTCATAGGAACACAGGTAATGCTTCTTTGGGGCACTGCCGGCTGTCACAGGGGTCCTCACAACCTCTGAGCCAGGGGGTGGAGGCTGAGCTCTCTGGAAAGGCTTCCTATTTAACTTCTTCTGTGAAAGTCAGGCAGCCTTCAGCATTGGAAGAAAACTCAGGGACTGAGAACGGAATCCAAAATGCAGATGTCCTTTTGTGCTAGTCACAACTGGCAAAACTCATCCTATCTCTTTATTCACATCTATGTTAATGTGGTCTCAATGTATAAATACCTATAGGGAGACAAGATTTCTGGCAGGGGAAAAAAAAACACAACACACACACATCAAAATCTATAGTTGGAAGCAGAAGCTAAACTTTAAACTAAATTTAAAGAAAGGGAATAATTAACCAAACAACTTACTTGGAGACAAGGGACGGAAACAGCCTCCCTCATGCTTTACATCAACACCATAATTACTGACTCATCGTCCCTCTTGTGCTTTAGTGGTTGTTAGACTGAATTATCAGAACACTCCATTTCAGCCTTAAAACCTGTGAATCCATCAGTCAAATGAAAATGCCTTAAACATGGGTTTGGAGCAGGTATACTACAGCCTGGAAAATGTCCAAACATCAGAGAGTAACCTAAGCCAAATCAGAGAAAGAGATCAAACTCTGGGCAAAACCAAAATCTTCATGCCATAGCAAAGTCCAGTTATTCAAACACTGGCTTAGTTTTCAAACTGTTTCAAACACTGGACTAATCTAAAACACCAATTTTAAAATATTAGTATTATTCTTTGGAACACATGCGCTAGCAATGGATGGGTCTGAAATGCCAGAACATTTCACTTTGATATTTTCCATGGAAATAAAGGATTTTGTTTCAATTCAGCCAGCTAGAGCTGTGTGTGTCTGGTCTGTCATGGCGTTTTACAGGTGATGCAGTGCAGGATCACAGCAGCCTCCCTTTCCAATGTGGCTCAGGCTTCTACCACCCTTTCCAAGACACATAGTGAAAGCCACTGAGAAATGCATCTTTCCTGCACTGCACCTGAGCTGTGCCCTGATAAATGGCCAATGAGAACTAGTTCATGTTAAACAGAAAATTTAAAGAGAAAAATAAAAGGAAAAAAATATATAATTCATTTTTTTAATTATCATGTGAGGCTGAGAAGACATAATGGGTTTGTAAATCTATAGATATCTCTTTCAAGAATTACAGCAAGGTGCTACAGAGCATGGGGTTTGTGTATTTTCTGCTAGATTGATCTTCGAGATGATCCCAAAACTTTGGCTCGGCTGCTTTACATGAAGGAGAAACCACTCACCTACGAGCACGGAGTGAAGCTGGCTAAGGAGGTAACACATTTTTCTGGGGTCCCAGGAAATTGATCGATCACAGCTTTCCACTGGGTATCTTTCATTCAAGGCAAGCTCCCCTGAGTTTGTTGGTTCGTCCCAGCCAGAGATCCAGCGCTCTGGAACTTGCATTTCCCCATGCTTGGTAGCAACAACACAAGGACAGAGCAGGTCTTTTTCACACTGATAAATTAGACTACGCTTGGTAGATGCTATTAAGACAGCACCTCCTCAAGACCCCCTGCTGCACAGTTGGGAAGCCAAGCTGCTGGTCCAGAAGTTCAGCAGGAGGACACAGGTGCAGCCCCCCTCCATCTCTGGAGGGCCCTGCAGGGCATTTCCATGCTCCTTTAACCCGCTGTGAGATACAGGTGTTCCTAATCATCCCTGCTCTTGCTCAGGATGACCACTGAGTTTGTCCTTCAATCCCATAGGCAGCCAGATATAAACCTAGCAAGAATCTCACCTCCCTTTCTGATGGTTAGGACACGTGCACATACAAAGATGCTGGAATGGGGTCGCTCTGCCTCTGCCAACAGCAGGTGCTCACTTCTTCTCTCTCCTCTTTCAGATCGGAGCACAATGCTACCTGGAGTGCTCAGCGCTCACACAGAAAGGCCTTAAAACTGTCTTCGATGAAGCAATCCTGACCATTTTCCATCCCAAGAAGAAGAAGAAGCGTTGTGCAAAGTGCCACCGCTGCTGCACCATTTTGTGAAGCCACTTGGAAAGACAAGTGAGATGAGTTCAGTGAAACCAAGCAGGTTAGAAAGGCAATGAAAGTCACATGCAACTGAAATGGGGAACATGACCAGAAAAGGGTCCTTTTTACCAAAAGAGGAGCCCTCCATTCTGTGAAACCTCCAAGCTGTATCACGCTAGGCCATCTCATGTCTATGTGCTTTCCTAAACCTCCAGAGCCATACGCAGCCTGTTCCCGCTGCTGCGGACTGCGCTGAGCCAACAGAAACCAGGATGCCTGCTCCTGCTCGACTCTTCTTCACCTTAGGGATAAGGGGAAGGTGTTTGGAAAACAAGCAAACAAACAAACAAGGAATTAAAGGTGGTAAAAGAAACGGGAGAAATTCCGTTTGTGGCCTTAAGCAAGTATTGATCAAAATTAGGAATTTACAGTACATAGGAATTGAATCTGAACTGACTGAAAGCACATGGAGATCTGTAGAAATCTAATATGTAAGATGTACACTATAGGTAGGAAGTACTTTTAAATTACTTTATCTTTTTTAAAGCTCGCTAGGTCAGGATATACTTCAGTTTGTTCAAACTACATGGAAGCAAAGGTGGAGTGATTCAGTTTATTTTCACTTAATGGTGAAAGTTCACAGCGTCCGTATGTTGCTGCACCCAAGCTATCAAAATGGATCAACATTTACCTCCAGACTTAAGGAATGTTCTTACAACTTAAAAATGCAAGTAACTGTATTTTTACAGGGGAATGTTCAGGCTGAGCCACGTTTCCATAAGCTGGGAAAGGAAGAACAGAGTTGTAGCATTTACGTACTGAAACAAAGACGTTCTGCCACCAAAGAGTATTGCCCTAGACATGAAATCCCAGCATGCGACAATCGCCTCTCCAAAGTGAGAACATGAAAGAGACACGTTGCCATGGCAACTGAAAAATTACCTTATAGATCAGCTGGATTTCCGCATCTCACACAGCAGATGAAAATAGCAAAAACCAAAAAGCCAAAGGTCATGCTGATCTCAAGTGCTTTAAGGTG